AAAAAAAATGAAACAAAAAAACAACAACATTAGATCACATTCTAAAAAAAGCATAATTTAACTGCATCATTCCATGTAAGTTCGCATTTAGTTGTCACACAGAAGCTTACCTGCAAAGTTCTGGAAATATTAGTTTATGGCAAATTAAATGAAACATGGAATATAACTGCAACATTTTGGAAATTTAAAGTTATTGTCTATAACATAAAACAAAAATGACCATTAGATCACATTTCAAGGTATTATTAGATTGTCACACCCACCCACACACAACATCTGGAGTTCTGGAAATGTTAGTTAATGGTTATAAAAATAAAACAAACAAACAAAAAAACATTACCATTCTGTATAAGTTCTTATTAGGCTGTCATGTAAAATAACCTCCCTGCAATGTTTTGGAAATGTTAGTTAAGGGTTATAAAATAAAACACACAAAAAGTGAACATTCTGAGAGTTGGTCTCAAGGAACTTGGTACCAAGATAATGTTGAAGGGACTGCAGGGATTATAACTCAAAATCAAAAATGAACCAACATACTCGCCAACATAATAACCACACTATTAGCAGAAGATATCTACAGTATTAGCAGGGGCTCAGCTGTGAAACAGTCCAAGTGCATTTAAGTTGAAAGGACAGTGCTGCAATAAGATAATTATTTAAAGTTCACCTAATTCAGGCTGAATTTGATCAAATTAGATTCAGGCTAACAGTTCCAAGACCCTGGATTTTCCAATGCACATATCAAGTGTCAGAAAAAGTCTGTGATAAACTAAATGAAATACTGGGGAGTTAAAAAAAAATAGACAGTGATTCAGTTCAAAGAGTTACTTCAAGCCACTGCACCAACAATCAGCATTAAATGGCCATTAAGACTTCAATATTCAACAAACAAAACTCATTGCTCTTGATATATTGTGTATTTCAGGTTCTATTAAGGATTGAAGATTGATTTGACTTCTAAATAGCCAATACAAAAGACACAAATGTATTTTATAGATTTCTTGTGCAAGTCCCAGATCCTTTAAAATCCTGCAAATCACGGAAACAACATTTCTACACATAGAGAGAGAGGGAAAACCTCAAGGACGCACTATTATTATTGAACTTTTTATGCTAGTATTTATGTATTTAGCGACAATGATTTATGAACTTTTTCTGTGGCGCCATTACTAATTATTCTTATGATTCAGATTTTCCTGGAGCATGCAATTAAAATGGACCAGTTTTGAATAATGGCCTGGCATTTAGACTGTTAAATCAATGAAACAAGACAAATAATCATTCTCTACATTAGTGGTGAAAAGGAGCAAGTGATGAAGAAACAGGTTCTGGGGAGCAATAGCTAAATATCAACCCTTTTCACATGAGTAATGGGGCTGATAAGGGAACTTGGTCCATCTGGTGATTCCGACAGTTTCCCAATTCCAGGTCCATTTTCCCTCTTTCCACAAGCCCACAATGATGTGCCAAAAACTGATCGTTAAATAATCAAAAACAAAGGCAACTGGTGCAATCCATCACAAAGCTGTCCAACTAACTTTCTCCCGAAGATTGTCAAGCCTTGAGGGGTCCATGGTGGCAAATGCCACACTGGTGGTGTTAAGAGACAGGATATGTAACTCTAATGAAAGACTAATAGTCCACAGCTGGCCAAGCAGCTCAGGAGAAATTCATCGATATGAAGTAGAAGTGAGCAGGTGAAACTAACGCTTTATGTGTGTGAGCCTGTTGGTGTGGAGCTACAGTAAGAGAAGCTGTGTTCTGTAGGACAGCCTGAATGCTCCAAATAATATATTAAAACAACGTTTATTACTCAAATGACATCTTAAAAAAACTCTCTATGATAACACAAGTAGTTCTTATCTCTGGGTAAGATGTAAATGCATACTAACAAAACGCACATATTATGTATTATGTTTTTCAACAATCAATCAATCAATTTTTTAATATTCAATATTGTGAAATATTATTAAAATTTAAAATAACTATTTTCTATTGTAATATAATTTAACATGTAATTTATTCCTGTGATGTTAAAGCTGAATTTTCAGCATAATTTCTCCAGATCATTCTAATATGCTGATTTACTGCTTAAGAAACATCAATGATGAAAACAGTTGAGCTTTTTAAAATATTTGAGGAAGCCATGGTACATTTATTCAGGATTCTTTGATGAATAGAAAGTTCAAAAGAACAACATTTTGCAATTTAATGCATCCTTGATTAGTGGTAGACCGATATTGTTTTTTTGACAGTCGATGTTGACATCTTAAAAAAACTCTCTATGATAACACAAGTAGTTCTTATCTCTGGGTAAGATGTAAATGCATACTAACAAAACGCACATATTATGTATTATGTTTTTCAACAATCAATCAATCAATTTTTTAATATTCAATATTGTGAAATATTATTAAAATTTAAAATAACTATTTTCTATTGTAATATAATTTAACATGTAATTTATTCCTGTGATGTTAAAGCTGAATTTTCAGCATAATTTCTCCAGATCATTCTAATATGCTGATTTACTGCTTAAGAAACATCAATGATGAAAACAGTTGAGCTTTTTAAAATATTTGAGGAAGCCATGGTACATTTATTCAGGATTCTTTGATGAATAGAAAGTTCAAAAGAACAACATTTTGCAATGTAATGCATCCTTGATTAGTGGTAGACCGATATTGGTTTTTTGACAGTCGATGCCGATGCCAATATCTTGGAAAGCAGGGTGGCCGATGGCCGATGGCTGATATAAAGCCGATATAATTGTATTTATTTTAATTAATGTTTAATAAATTTGAAATGAATTAAAAAGTAAATGTGTTAAATAAACATACTTTAGATCAGTGTTTCCCAACCTTTTTTTTAGTCGCGGCACCCTTTGGAAATTTTAACAACTTTGTGGCACCCTACAAAATTAATTTTGTCACAATATTTGAATTTCTAACTTCGATATGATACTTTGAAAAGTATCAATATTCGGTACAGCAGGGAAGACTGCAGAATGTGTCATATATATGTATATGTGTGTCAGATATTTTTAATATTATTATTTTTTTTATCCATGGAGGCAATCGGTAGGCTAATTTCTAATGAGGAGACCAATTTATATGACAGATTTTAATGTAGGCTTTTATTCATATGAAAACATTGTTTAATTACCATTATAACTTAAACTATCTCACAAATTTTTGCTCACTCTGTGTATTTTTTATTTTACAGTTGGGTAATTTTGTTGCAGTAGCACGAGATAGCTTGATTTCAAACTTTGAAATGAATAAAAAAATGATAGCACAAATAAAAAATAACGACAGACCTACAAATGAAATAAATTGCTTTTTAGTTTTTCAGGTCTAACACTAGGGCTATTAAAAGATTATAATTTTTTTTTACCAATTATCCAAATAATGTTTAGTCCTAGAAAGCTATTATTATCAAAACACGTGAACATTACATGCGGTTAGCAGATCAATGAATGAGAGGGCAGCGTTACCAGAGATGCCCATATACCACACCATTTTACAACACAGTAGGGCTATTGCAGACAGAAACAATACTGTACTACATCGATGTTTCCTGTCGGCTCGTTTTTCGAGTGGACTTTGCTGTTCCGATGAGCATGAACGGTATACGAGTGGAGCGACTGAGCGGAGCGCACACGCATAGAGCGGGATAATACACAGAGCGTCACACCACGTGAAAGTGAAACAAATTTTCGGCAGCCGGAATTTCGGTGCATCTCTAATTATTGGCGACATCAGAAATGGATATTATATAATAGATCCTTTTTTTTTTTTACATTTTAGCAATTTAAAAATATTAAAAAAGGATTT